GTGAGCTGACCTGAAAATTCCAGGTCCAGCTCGTCCCCCTGGTGAGGCGGTCTGTAGTGGAGGCCCACTATCAAGTCCCTTTCCTCACGACTCCCTTGCATTCTAACCCAGAGCGCCTCAGTTTGCCCCTCTTCTGAACCCATCCTGACCATCGAGGATGTGTACTGCTCTTTAACATAAAGTGCTACACCCCCCCTTTTTCCCTACTCTATCCCATCTATAGAACCTGTAGCCCTCAATGTCTACTGCCCAGTCATGGGTAGACTCCCACCAGGTTTTGTAAGCCCAACCAGGTCTGGGTTTTTGCTAGCTAGCAGGAGGGTGAGTTCCTCCTGCTTATTCCCCATACTTCTAGTATTTGTGTAGAGGCAATTGAGACCTCCTATGGGTGTTTGTGCTGCCCTTTTGTTCCCAAGCTTGCCCGGGCCCTTGTCACTTACCTGGTTTGTTGCTGCTTGTGTCACCTGGCTTGACATCGAAGTGTCCTCCTGCACCTCTGCATTCCTATCCCTCGATGAACCTAGTTTAAAGCTCGCTATTTGAGATCAGCCAGCCTCACAACCCACAAGCCACAAAACACCAAGAACAGCACAGCATGCCATAGCTAAAAGCAGGGGAGGCAAAGGCCTGCTTTGCCACTGCACCAAGGAAGCTGAAATCAGGTGCGCTTTGTATCAAGCCCTTTAGCAGAGTTAACCTGTCACAGTTATTCTCTTTAAAGTTCAAGAGTCACTTCTGCTATTTCATTTTTTAATACTGATCTTCTAGATTGCAGATTTGAAGGCAGCCAGACAGCTTGCTTCAGAAATCACTTCCAAAGGAGCATCTCTTTATGATTTACTTGGCAAAGAGGTAGAATTGAGGGTAAGTACATTGTGGACTACATTGTATTATGCAAAAGAAGGGAGTAAAACAAGTCCAACAGTGGCAGTGAATATGTGAGATTCAGGTTCTGTATGCAAGGTCAGAAAGATTGCTCTGCTTTCTATTTATATTATGTGCAGCATATGCTTATATACAGCAAATATACACACACTGTGTGTGCATGTATGTCCATGTATGTGTGCTAGAGGGTGGTGTGTGCATGTGTTTGAGGGCTGGGGAGGGTGGGTGTTGCTGCTAGACAGGCACAGAGCAGACTTGGCAGCCCTCTAGCATCAGGTCAAAGCTGTATACATTGCAGAGGGCTTTAACCCCAAATATGCAACCTCTCAAAGCACATGCTAACTTTAGTAGTCATCTAACATTCCTTAAAGTTGGCATGTGTTACTTGTAACGTAAGCACGTGCTGTTCTTTTGGAGCCACAGACAAAAATAGTTTCCATCAGTCGGAGACATAAGAGCATTCTGTTTCTGTTCTTGGGACAGAATGGCTGTAGAAAGTAACAAAATAGCATTTCACTGAAATATAGAGATATTTCAAACCATGGTGGAACTAGAAAAATGCCTCTTTTTGAAAGATGAATTCTTGCATAAGCATAAATCAAAATATCCGTCATTTGTATATCAAAAATGGTAATAAATGCCTCTTCTCGGGACAAGCAGTTACTTGCCTCAAATAAATGATGGACAATAAAACCATAGAGCCCATCTCTGCTGTCATCAGTCCTGTGGCAGTCTACTTCATGGCTGAAGCAGTGGACGTGGTTGGAAAGAGGAGAGCTCTGAAATTGTGACGAATAATTAGCTGCTGCTTTTACTAGGAGTAAAATTGATTTAGTAGCTAAATAAATGTTTAACTGAGTCCTGGCAATGTTCCGAATGGCAAATTGCTCTGAAAGGAGACATAAGACAGCTAAGCATTTGCTGTATCTGCACCAACTAGCTGATGCTTATTATGGCTTAAGGCATGTGTAACAAGGTGGTCTCCTCATTAGGTCTTTGCTGGCTGCCCTGCTCCTGATGTAACTGCCCCCTTCGCTCACTTGCCACACCTTGATGGAAAAATATGAGAGTTGTTACTGAGACGGGAGGCTACTCATTACTTGCCCTGCTGACAAGGGCCTAATACCCCCTCCAACCTTCCCTCCATGGATCCCATGCCTCGCAGATGTTACTCTGCTGTTACTTCTTTGGCCTATGGTCGGGCAAAGCAGGCACACAGTTGTAGTCCTTTTCTACAGCCCCGGAGGGCCACTCACATGCCACCCCTCTCTCACTGGGGTCCCATTTACCCACTGGCTCTCACTCAGCTTCTTTAATATTGCTCTCTCTCAGGGCTACACTCATCCTGCCTGGCCTCACCTGGCTTCGGGCTTAGCTCTTCTTGCCTCGGTCAGCCCTGGTGCAGTCTGTTGGGTGTCTCCTGCTACCCTCGCCTGAGCATTGACTGAGCGACTGTACAACTATAGGCCTATTTCACTCCTGACCCTTCGCTGAGCCACTATGCCCCCATTGGGCCTCCTCACTCGCCCACACTCACGGGGCCACTCTGTTGCCTCTCTCACTCAGGGTCTAGCTTGCGCCCCCAGGCTTTCCCTGCTGCCTGGGTGCAGCTCCAGGTCCTTCCTCTGGCCTGAACTCTGCCTCAGGGCTCCTTAATGAGCCCTGGGCTCCCCCTGCTCATTAGAACACCACCAGGGATGTGGGGCTGGGGTTATGAGGTGCCTCGACCCGCCTTTCACTCGGGAGGTGACTGACTTGGCATGGCCTGGGGGCTCTTACACCACTAGGGGCCCCACCAGACTGCCCTTCCCTGGCAGGGTGCAGTTTTATGTCTTACCCAGGGCAAGGGGTCACCTCCACCCCATAGCCCCTGCCCTTACCTCCTAACTATTGCTGGAGCAGCCCCTTAGCCTGATGTTACCTCCTTCCTCCTGCAGCAAACTGCAGCCCAGCTTACATCGCTGGGTCCAGCATGGCTGTTCTCATCTGGCACCTGGCTGCTGCCTGTTTTCTGCCCTTAAAGTGGCAGGCACCAAAGGTGCCCTGTCACAGCTTGCCTTTAATATTGAAATAAATGGAAGATTCCAAAGGGGTTGCACTATTTGCAGGAATTAGAGTGGCTGCCTGTGTTATAGCCATAGGCATCTTAAATGGCTTTGACTAAAATTAACAAACTGGTTTATACCTCATTACACCATATTTTATTTGATTAATTCTTGGGCTATAGGAACAGATTTCACAGGGCATTAATGACTGGCTTAAAAGACGTTAAGTCATTTTGTCTTTCACATTCACATCTCCACTTGCATATCATTCTAATATAATAAAGGGCTTAGTCTGTCTGTCTGTCTGTCTGTAACGGTCTTGGAGCACTCTGATTATTTTAGTAACCAGTCAATCAGAGTGCTCCAAGAGGGTTATGGACAGGAGGTGGCACCAGAGTGCCGCCATGATGGTGAGGACAGAGTGCAGGGGCGAAGTCAGCAGTGCTGGCCTCGTGCTCCGCCCTCCTCCCCGCCCTGCTCCTTGGAGGCAGTGGCTGCGTGAGATGTTGGCGGAGGGGGACAGAGGGGATGGCAGGGCAAGCTCCCTGCCCCCCCACTCCCAGAAGACGGCATCAGCATGGGAGAGGTGGGGGTTGGGGGAGGAGCTTGCTAACCCTCCCATCATTCTTGACGGGCAATTTGCTAGTAGGATCATACGACTGGAAGGGACCTCAGAAGGTCATTTAGTCCAAATTACCCAGTCCACTTGAGTAACAGCTTATGAGACCTGGTTTGAGCTGGGCTCAAACTATGACAGAGAAATGAGAGGCTCTGCATCCCTTTATTAATCCCTTGGAGTCATCCAGTTTCCTTCTGATTAGACATTGGAAGGGTAATGATTAGACACCTTAAGGGAGAATTAAAAAAACCCCACAAAAAACACTTAACTGTTGGTTTAAAATTGAGCATAATTTACTAGTTTTGGCCAAATCACAGCTCTTAGCAGTTCACTTGACTTCAGGATTGTGCCCTTAAATAAGGACATACTCAAGAGCAGAATTCATAAAGTGAAAATTGGGGACAAATGAGTATTCCTGTGCAGCCACTTCTTGTAAGGCCCATCAAGAACTCTTCATTGGAAGTCTATTCAAAGGTGCATTTTCTAGAAGAATGGGCATTATTACATCCTATAGGGAGTATATATTCCTCCAACATAATGCCTCATTGCACTAGATTGGACTAGCTAATCTTGTAGAAGTGTGGGGTTTATACTCTGCACAAATGTCTGACAGATTGAACTACTTGTCCTTAAGAAATCCTGTCTCATGAAAAATGGCTCTCATCTGTGCCTCATTAGTAATGAATTACGTCCTAAACGTATGATGCTGTACAGCGACAGCCCAGTGAGAACCTCCAAATAGCACCAGCAAAACCTTTCATGTTCCATTCCTAATGATCTGTGACTAGTTCCAACTTTCTGAGTGACTCATTGAAACTAAAAATGCAGCTTCAACCCAAGGTCTGGCACATAAGCATAGGACCAGTTTTAGGCTCTTTGACATTTAACACAACCTGACAAATATTTTCCACATTAAAAGTTGGATTCCATATATACAAAATGCCTTAGCCAACTTTCTGTTAGATTTCCTTATGGGGCTTTTTGGTATGGCTTTTTCTTGCTGTAATTAGGAGCCTAGATTGTGCACTTTATTCTTTTTAATTTAAGCTGTTGGATATTTTGTTTTCTTTTCTAAAAGCTGTAAAGAATATCTAGATCTATAGCAAAGCTTGAAACTTGGTTTACCACTGGGGGCAGGGTGTCCTCTGGTACTTTTAATTTTGTATACCTGCATAGATCATCTTCCAGTGTGGAACCAAAATGTAACTTTTGTCCCTGAAGTTGCACACAGATAACTCCAGTGCCTTTGCTGCTATTTATGCCATGAAATTAACAAATTCTGGCAGGTTTTATTTGCTGCTGTCCATAACCCTGAAGTTGTCAGCATTCGTGCCACTTTCCTGCTTCTGTTATTGCTTGGGAAAACAATGAGCAGCAACTGAAGCAGACACCAGTGTTTTCCTTGGAATAGAACTTAAAAAAACTGGAGAGACTTGGGAGGTAGTAGAGAGTCTCCAGTTCAGCTCTTAGCAGCCAGAAGGTAAAACTTTGCTCTTCCTGCAAATTGAGATAGGTAAACTGAAGTAAGTATGCAATCTGTAAAACAATAATGTAGGTATAATGTTTCACTACATCTTCAGGTTGTCGTAAGGCCTAAAAATAATTTGAAAATCACATGAATACCATAATTAATTTGTCAAAAACTGTAGCTCTGGTCTAGTTTATAGGGCAGTGGACTCAGAAGAGCAGAATTCCATTCTTGGCTCTACAGTTACTTGCTGTTGCCATTGTGTTTCTCTTTACTTTTGCCTTGTTCTTCTAGACTGCAAACTGTTTAGGATACGTGGTGTTTATTGTGCGTCTGTGCAAGCCCTACTCTTGTCAGTACTCCTAGGCACCATTTTAAGGGTGGTTAAGTGATCTTGTAAGTGCAAATAGCTGTGTTAAATGAGGATTTGAGATTTCTGTATTTTCTTAGCTAAAATTTGAGCACAAAGTTTTTGACTTTTTGTTTGTTACCTGAATAGGATTTTAAACTATGTCTTCAGATGAGAGAGACTTCAGGCCATATTCTGCTGCCTGTTCCATTAATATTAATTCAAAGTATCTCCACTGGAGTCACAAGACTTACAGGCTTCTGGAAGTAATAAATGTTGAGGACAGTGTGGGACTCTATAGTCTCCAGGCCAAAATATCCCTCACATATTTAGTGCATAGCTCACTTCCCTTTCCATGCTGCTCAGTTTATAGTAGGTTTGTGATTTTATATAGATCTTCTGGATCACTGTTTGTAAACATTTACATATGAGAATGCAAAAAGCCTCAGTATGAAATGGAGGCCCATTGTACTGACACTGTACAAACAAGTTCTGGAT